GAAAGTGGAGTAAAAGTTTTTGCGATATAAGTATGGATTGAAAATTAATTATAAACTATATTTTTATGATGTTTTAATCAGTGATTTGGTGACAATTTGTTTGCTTTTTGGTGTCTATAAATAGTTTGCTATACAAGACAAGTCGGTGTCGACCCAATTGACAGTCAACGCAAACATTATAATTGATTTTTTACGGCAAAGAATTAGCGATAATATTGTCGCCGAATAATCAAAACTCACTAATCGTTTGACTTTCAAACGCGAAAACGTGAAACAAATCTCATTTCTCTGTGGATTAAAACTGTTGACTGAATGTTGTTTTGAATGAATAGTAATAAAAACATAAAAAAAACTTTTTCTCCAACAAAATACTGCTTTTCATATGATTTGTATGACTCGAGTGATTGGATTATACGATAACAACACACATATAGACTAACGAGTAGTTTATGTGTTATCTCTCAAGACTCACACACAATATATCGATCGGAAAACATATATATTCTTTGCCAGCGATAGGAGCGTTAGTTTGGATACGAGTGCGCTTTCCCATAGCCATAGCACTGGCATAATAAAGGGCTGGTATGTGTGGGAGCGAGAGATACTAATTGTGTGTCGGAATAGAAGTGTCATTTCCACTGCTATTTGTTATTTCATAAACTAATTGTATATTAATATATAAAATGTATTGATTGTGATTTAAATAATTAATGTGAAAAACAGCGAAAATTTTGTGATATAAATCGTTGTGAATATACAAGTGAACAGAATTTGATTTTGTGTGCGAGAATCGGTGTGCAAAACCGACACCACTGTCCATATGGCTACCAGTGCTAATGAGAATACGTATATTCTGCAAGAGACTGGCTCAGTCAACTCTACCAACAATCAGGTGTTTACGATAATTTAGTTATGAAATACATTTAGAAATATATTCTTATAAATAGACAAATCATTAGCAAAACTATCGATCGCTTACTATTTATTAGAGTAAACATTGATTTTTAAGAATATTCCCATTTATGAATTATAACATTAATTATATTTATTTTGTTATTTATATATATAATTTTACTAGTAAACATTTTAAATGATTTTTACAAAATCTATAAATTTAGTAATCACTCTGATTTAGTAGACAAATGCACATAAACATAAGAATTATTAATTATATTTGTCACGGGGTATTGATTATGAATATTAAATAATAATATCATCAATAATATCATATATAATGAATAAATTACTTACATTTTATCAAATGTCTGACACCATAGCATAATTCAATTCAATTAAAGCAAATATATCTACTAATTAAGTTCATTAACTTATTATAATTTATTATAACTATGAATACAATGAATGTGCGGACAGGGAGGCGATGATGACTTGGCATCGCAATCGACAGCTACGCCCAGGGATACGAAGCAACTGGTGTTTGAGCCCAACTGCAACCGATTGGGACCGACCAGTAATCTACACCAAACCGGCTTTAATTATGTCAATAGTATTATCGGATCGGGAGTTATAGGTATTAATCAATAAGTTTTCACCAAATTCTGTCCAAATCTAAAGAATATTCTTTGCGACAGGAATTCCTTACGCTCTCAGAACGGGTGGCTTTGGGTTCGGAGTCATATTAATTATGGTATATATTATTATCATGTGATATACTAATTGATCTTGGTTATAATATTAATACATTGATAGATAATTGCGTTATTAACGGACTACTCGTTGTGTATTTTGGTTAAAGCGGGAAATATGGTCGGCGTTAACACATATCAAGTGATTACCACTATATTTATGGTTTGGTTTAGAAAATAACAATTAATTTCCCATTGATTTGGTGTAGGATTTAGTGCGCGCGGCGTTTGGCAGCCCTGGCTATTGGCTCTTGACTTTCATCCAATTCCTGTACCCATTCATCGGTATATTATTTACTGATTTGTCTGTCGATTCATAAACTGATAACAAAAACCACTCATTCAATGTTCACAGCAATGATAAGCTATAACGTAATCATCGGCGACACCACCACTAAAGTACTCATCAGAATATTCAACGGTATGTGTCGACAGAATATTCTCTATAATTATGTTTATGTTATGATATTATTGATGATATTATTTATCTAATAGTCTCGCAAAACAGTTTACTCGCAAACCGTAATGCAGTCGTGTTTTTGTGTTCAATATTAGTCACATTTCCGCTATCGTTATACAGAAATATATCCAAATTAAATAAAGTGAGTATTGCTTGTTGGGTACAAACTACAGTTCCGTATTTACCAATTTTTAAAAAAGTTACTGTCCTTTCAATTGCACTCATTTTGATGATTATATAATAGCAATAATATCCTACTTGTGTCCAAAGGTTTCCCTCATATCACTACTCTTCGTATTCTTCATCCTATCGTTTATATTCTTGAGAATCGAAACCTTTTCGGACAAAATGTATGCAAAAATTGGTGTTTAATTGTAAAAACAATTAATTAAATGATATGTTTATCTCTGCGGACAGACCCAAGAGCGATGACGCCTACGATATGGTGGGCCCGGGTATCACGGAATCCATAGGAATCATAGCGTTTGGTAAATAATAATAATGCTATCAAAATATTATTTCTAAATAATTTGTTTGCGTGCAAAACCAGATTAGTAAATGGAAAGTAATTTGATTAGCTAGCTAATTACTGTAATGGTCTACATATTTATTCGTAAAGTTATTGCATTTGATTACATATTTATAAGCTTTAATTGAGTCACTAATTCATATGAACCGAGAATTAGCTATAAGTTAAATATCATAAAAATATTTCAAAATTATTTATCAAATATAATTTCAAATCAACTGACATTAACCACCATATGTGTGACCCCTAACCCCTACCCCTAAACAGCATACATGTGTCACCACAGCTCGTTCCTGTTGTACGAGTCGCTGGAGAACCCGACCCAAAGTCGCTGGAATCGGATCACTCACATCTCGGTCTCCATCTCTTGTCTCATAATCCTGTTGTTCGGTGTCTTCGGTTACACCACATTCACGGGCTATAGTCAGGGAGACCTCCTCGAGAACTACTGCAACTCTGACGACTGGGCTAATGTGGCCCGCATTCTGTTCAGCACCACCATTATGCTCACCTACCCTATCGAGTGCTTCGTAGTGCGCGAGGTATGCCTACCACACACAGAATCTCTCTCTCTCTCTCTCTCTCTCTCTGACAAAATTAACTCAATTACGGACTGATTAGGTGGTGGAGAACGCCATATGGGACGGCAAACCCCCTGAAACCAAGACCCACCACACGATGATAACTGTGGCCATCGTTGCCACGTGTTTCCTATTCTCCACTTTCACCGACTGTTTGGGTATTGTCTTAGAGCTCAACGTAAGCACTCATTCGCGCGAGAAAAACAGATAATCATAAATAAAATCCACAATAAATGCTAATTACAGGGCGTATTGGCTGCCGTTCCCCTGGCGTTCATACTGCCGGCTCTCTGTTACCTGAAGCTAGACTCTGGCCGGGCGTTGGAGTGGCGAAAGGCGCCGGCATTCCTGTTGGCGCTGTTCGGCTTCGCGGTCGCCATTGTCGGCACTTTCCTGGCTGTGGTTCGGGTGATCGATGGCGTCAAATGCAGTCACGGCAAGGAAATGGACTACTGTTTGGCGCCCCACCAGCACACCAACCACACGGTGTCGACGCTGCTATCCCTGGCCGCTAACCACACGTCCAGACCTTAACCCACTAGTGAGATGTTACCCCAACAAAGCCAACT